GTGTATAGCCTCAGAAAGACGCAGTTGAAGGTCTGAACTGACTGGGTATGGGATGGGGGACATGGTGTGCCCCATGAAAGCCTGTAAGGTGGGACAGGAAAAAGGTGATTGCTATTCACTCATTTTGACCCAGGCTGGAGTTATGGGTAGCATTTTAAATTGAGGAGAGCAAGTTAGCAATGTCTTTCTTTACAAATTTTACAATTACTTAAGTTAATCTTTGGCATGAGAGGCTGGCTGTGTGTTAGGCCCAAGAGCTAAAGATGTGATGGCTGATCTGAAGCATCCCATCTTTTTTTAAAAATTAATTTATTTTGAATTATCAACAATCACTTCCATAAGCTTTTGAGTTTAAAATTTTTCTCCCTCTCCTTCTCCACTTCCTTCCCCAAGACGGCATGCAATCTGATATAGGCAATACATATACATTCCTATTAAACATATTTTCGTATTAGTGATGTTGTAAGGAAGAATTAAAACTAATATGAGGAGCCAGCAGAAAGAGGAAACAAAATACCACAGAAGGAAAAAATAGCAAATAGTATGCTTCAATCTGCATTCAAACTCCATAGTTCTTTCTTCTTTGTGAACAGCATTTTCCATCATGAGGCCTTTGGAGATATCTTAGATCCTTGTATTGTTGAGAAGGGTTAAGTCTATCAATATTAGTCATTGAACAACATGGCTACTACTGTGTATAACGTTCTCCTGGTTCTGCTCACTTCACTCAGCATCAGACCACACAAGTCTTCCCAGGTTTTTCTGAAGTCAGTCTCATCATTTCTTATAGCACAATAGTATTTCATTACATTCATATACCACAACTTGCCCAGGCATTCCCCAATTGATGGGCATCCTCTCAATTTCCAATTCTTTTGAAGCACCCCATCTTAAGCTAAAAGATAAATTAACAAATGGAGTCTTCCTTAAAATAATAAGTATCATCTATCTAAAACCTTCAGCAAGCATTATATGTAATGGGGACAAACTAGAAGCATTTCTAATAAGATCAGGGGTGAAACAAGGATGTCCATTATCACCACTGTTATTCAATATTGTACTGGAAACATTAGCTTTAGCAATAAGGAAGAAAAAGAAATGGAAGGTATTAGAAAAGGTAAAGAAGAAACGAAGCTATCACTCTTTGCAGATGACATAATGATATACTTAGAGAATCCTAGAGAATCAAGTAAAAAACTACTTGAAATAATAAACAACTTTAGCAAAGTTGCAGGCCATAAAATAAGCCCACATAAATCATTGGCATTTCTATATATTGCCAACAAAGCCCAACAGCAAGAGATAGAGAAATTCCACTGTAGACATTATAAAATATTTAGGAGTCTACCTACAGAAACAAACTCAGGAACTCTATGAGCACAATTACAAAACACTTCAACTCAAATAAAATCAGATCTAAATAATTGGAAAAACAGCAGTTGCTCATGGGTAGGCCGAGCTAATATAATAAAAATGACAGATCTACCTAAGCTAATTATTCAGTGCCATACCAATAAAACTACCAAAAAATTATTGTATAGAGTTAGAAAAAAAAATAACAAGATTCATTTGGAAGAACAAAAGGTCCAGAATATCAAGGAACTAATGAAAAGAAATACAGGGGAAGGTGGCCTAGCAATTCCAGATCTTAAATTGTATTATAAAGCAGCAATCATCAAAACTGCTTGGTACTGGCTAAGAAATAGGGAGGTGGATCAGTGGAATAGGTTAAATAAATATGCAAGACACAGTAGTCAATGACTATAGTAATTTATTATTTGATAAACCCAAAGACCCCAGCTTCTGGGATAAGAACCCACTCTTTGAAAAAAACTGCTGGGAAAACTGGAAAAGAGTATGGCAGAAACTAGGCATAGACCAAATCTCACACCCAAAAATGGGTTCATGATTAGATATAAAGGCTGATACTATAAGCAAACTGGGAGAGCAAGGAATAGTTTACCTATCAGATCTATGGAGAACAGAAGAATTCATGACCAAACAGGAGATAGAGAACATTAAAAAAGCAAAATGGATAATTTTGATTACATTAAATTGAAAAGTTTTTGCACAAAAAAGCCAATGCAACTAAGATTAGAAGGAAGGTAGAAAATTGGGAAAGAATTTTTACAACCAGTCTCTCTGATAAGGCCTCATTTCTAAAATATATAGAGAATTAAGACAAATTTATAAAAATACAAGCCATTCCCCAATTGATAAATGGTCAAAGGATATGAACAGACAGTTCTCAGATGAAGAAATTAAAGCCATCTATAGTCATATGAAAAAATGCTCTAAATCATTATTGATTTGAGAAATGCAAATCAAAACAACTCTGAGGTACCACATCACACCTATCAGATTGGCCAACGTGACAAAACGGGAAAATATAAATGTTGGAGAAGATGTGGGAAAATTGGAACACTAATGCGTTATTGGTGGAGTTGTGAAATTATCCAACCATTTTGGAGAACAATTTGGAACTATGCCCAAAGGGCTATAAAAATGTGCATACCCTTTGACCCAGCAACAGCACTTCTAGGGCTATATCCCAAAGAGATCAACAAATGGGAAAAGGACCCACATGTACAAAAACATTCATAGCAGCTCTTTTTGTGGTGGAAAAGAATTGGAAATTGAGAGGATGCCCATCAATTGGGGAATGGCTGAGCAATTTGTGGTATATGAATGTAATGGAATACTATTGTGCTATAAGAAATGATGAATAGGCTCACTTCCGAAAAACCTGGAAAGACTTGTTTGGTCTGATGCTGAGTGAAGTGAGCAGAACCAAGAGAACGTTGTATACAATAACCGCCACCTTGTGCAATGACTAATATTAATAAACTTCACCCTTTTCAGCAATACAAGGATCTAAGACATCTCCAGAAGCCTCATGATGGAAAATGCTATCCACATCCAAAGAAAGAACTATGGAAGTTGAATTGCTATCTTTTTTTTCTCTTCTGTTGAGTTTTGTTTCCTCTTTCTGATGGTTCCTCCTATTGGTTTTAATTTCTACTTACAACATCACTAATGTGAAAATATGTTTAATAGGAATGTAAATGTATAGCCTGTATCAGATTGTGCACCATCTTGTGGAGGGTGGTGGAGAGGAAGGGGGAGAAAAATTTTAAACTCAAAAGCTCATGGAAGTGATTGTTGATAAATGAGAATAAATTAACAAAATAAATTAAAAAAAATAAAATAAAGCATAAATTAACATTTCCCAAAGGGAGAAGAGTAATGTCTGGGAAGATGCAGAGAAGGGAGCTTCAGCACATGACACAACTCTGCTTAGAGAAGTCTGCTTCTCTGCAGATGCATAGTGGGGTCAACAAAGCAAAAAAGTCTTTGCGTAGGAAGGAGCTTTGGTAGAGTCAGTAAAAATGTTCTAGCCTTTAAACAAGAAAATAGCTTCCCCAATCCTTTTTTCAACTAAAAATGTGAGTTTCCTGGGGATTTGTACCATTTCCCAATGGGGATGTGTTTAGAGAAGATTGTACCCATTTACATATTGGCAGAAGTTCTTGAAAATGATTTCATTTCTTGGTTTCCCACTGTTATTTACAGTGTTAGCCAAAAGGAAAAAATTTACTATTGGATTTATGGTTTGTGCCTAGTCTGTGGATAGAGAATTCTTTGGATTGAGAAACAGGCTGAATATTTATTAGCTTCCACAATGAGTAAAGTTGGATAATCCAGCCCAACCCCCAAGAAGATGTACATACACAAGTTTATTTAAAAAGAATAGATAGAAGGTAATTTTCAGGGAAAGGTCACAAGCATCTAGAGGAGGTTGGGAAAGACTCCTTGTAGATGGTGCCACTTGAACTAAGTCTTGAAGGAAACTAAGGGCTTCAGGAATCAAAACTGGAGAGGAAGTAGTTTAAGGTAGGAAGACAATTTTAGTTGTTAAACAGAGGAGTTTGTGTTTGATTCTAGAGCAAGAGGGAGGCCTCGGAGTTTGAGTAGGGGAGTGATGGTCAGACCCTTGATTTAAAAGAAAATCCTTTCGGCAGATGTTTGGAGAAGAGAGTGATTTGAGGCAGAGACAAATTAGGAGGCTGTTACAAGTTCGTAGGGGCTATGTGAGTTGAGAGAAAGGCAAATGTAGAAGAAGAAATGACTTTAAAACTGGATACACAAATATATGTAATGAGAACAAGAAGTTCAGAATGATTCTAAGGTTGTGAACCTAGGTAACTGTTGAGATGGTGGCGCTCTCAACAGATAGTCCTCATTCAGAAGACTCCTGGATGGGGTTGGGGGGCCGGGAGGGAAGATAAATTGCTTTCGACATGCTACCAACCAGTTCAAATGTCCAATTGGCAGTTGGTGGCAGGAGCTCAGGAGGAGTGGGGCTAGAGACAAATGCAGTACATCTGCGAGTCGTTTGCATAGAGATAGTAACTGAATTTATGGGAACGGTCGAGGTCATCAAATGACAGTGTGTAAGGGGAGAGGGTCTAGGACGAAATTCTGAGAAAGACATAGGTGGCAGGATGTGGAAGATGATTCAGCCAAGGAATAGGAAATTGAGAAGCAGGGACTTTCCATCCTCAGGACTCCAAGTCCTGAGACCTCCCAGTCCTGAGACCTCCCATACCTTAAGTTTCTCACATATTCTCTTTATCGTTTTTCCTGCGTTTCGGGTGAGTTCATATTTTTCCAAATATTATTTGTTGACAATTAGGAAATCCATAAACCACGCCTCCAAGCTTCCCAAGCCAAGCTAGTTTGACCTAAGGTCCGGGATTCCCCCGTGCTCTAGCAGGGACCCGGAGCCTGACCTTGGGCTTTCTACTGACTGTGCTGAGCCCGCTGTGCGCTCAGCCACCGGCCCCGGGCACTGATCGCAGCTTTGCTGGGCTAGCGCTGGGGTCTCGCAGAGTGGGCTGCTGAAGACTGGCTTCCTGCAGTCGCCTTCTTGAGCCCCTCCGGCTCGAGCGAGGAGAGGCGGTTACCTCGGAAACGCGCGCTCGGCGGGCTGCTGGCGATCTCCCTGGCAGTCGGTGCCTGGGCTCCGCTGTTCGTTAGTTCGCAGGCGGGACCTTGACCATGTCGTCCTTTTCGTCCCCCTACCCGTCTCTGAAGCCTGCGTGGTCCCTGCCATCTGACCTCTGGCTCCTCAGAGAGCTTTCTTCAGACTCCAAAGCCAGTACTTTAATTCTCTCATCCTCCCCCACTGAGGTCCTAGTGCAGGGCCGAGGGGCTGCTGACCGGTTCCGTAAGATGGCCAGAATCCTAGCGCACATCTGCGGGTTGACCCTGAGCTTGAAAAGGTAACAGCTGCGCCTTCCTGCATTGTCCTCCCCAGGGTCTGGGAGAAGAGCTTAGTCTTCCACCGAACTACTGAGGGACAGGAGAGGCTGTACCTTTCCTTACCTCTTGACTCTTTCGGAACTGAGCCCCGTCGGTGCCGCCCACTGTCGCCAGGGCTGCTCTGGCATGACAGATCATATGTCTCGAGACCAGGCTAGGAAAGCGATAAGGGACCCTTGGACAGGACAAAGGGTTGACAAGCCAGTGCTTGGCTTGCAATTAACCAGCTGGGTTTCGGTACTCTCCTCCCAAATTTACAATTCTCTTTGGACCGAAAACATAAGCCTCTGGCCAATGTATCACTGTCACTGGCCACTGATCCTTCTCACTCTTGCCAGCTGTGGAGCCTGGGCAAACACCCGGAGAAAAAGCCCGCTCTTTTTACTCTTCCTCCCCTTATCCGCCTTAAAACTGTACTGGCTGTTTTTTGTTCTTTTATCATGTCTAGAAATCTCTAGAATCAGACTGAAGAGTGATGCACAGTCCGAAATACATAAGATTCTAAAGACTGTTTCCTGTATCTATTGTAACTTGTAGAGGTTTACCAGATTACCTCAGCAAAGAATCCATTGCTATGAAAGGAAATTCTTATTCCATAGTGGTCACAGAGCAGGGGTCAAGATAGAAAAATATCCGAGGTCACTAATCTGCAGGGGAAAGAAAAATCAAGTGAGGGTCAAAAGAAATAAAAAGCATCATCATTATTATTTCATCTAGATGTGATTTTATCTGTGAAGAAACTACCTGGAGTGCCTGTAATTTATGAAGAGTTGTCTGAAATCATTGAGAAATTAAGCCACTGGTCCTCTTTACACAGCTAGTATGTACAATATTGTAAATAGGTCTTGTCACCAGGTATTTTCATCTCAAAGGCCACCCCCTTTTTTCAGACTAGGCCATGCTACTTTTCTAACTTAGTTTTCCTTTTTTTTGCCAAGCAAAATTTATATGAGGCATAAAAATAATAATAGCTAGTATTTATATAGCGCTTTAGTTGTTTGCAAAGCACTTTACAAATATTATCTCCAGTTTACAGATGAGAAAACTGACACACAGAGTAGTTAAGTGACTTCCCCAGGGTCACATCGCTAGAAGTGTCTGAAGACAGATTTGAACTCAGAAAAACCATTCTACCACTTAGCTACCTCATAATAAGAACAATAACATAAATTGAAATTTCTACGGCACTTTTAAGTTTTACAAAACACTTGGCATATATTACCATCTTTCACAACCCTGTGAGGTAGGTACTGCAGGTATTATTGACCCTATTTTACAGATAAGAAAAATGGGACTGAGGAGAAGGATTAAATGACTTGCCCTAGTAAAAGCCAGATGAAGACTTTATGCCTAGATTTCTGTGGACTCCAAGTCCAGGATTCTTTTTCACTGTATCACAGAGGTGGGGGTGGGGGGAGAAAAGGAAGGAGAAGAAAGAAGTAGCCAACCAACCTGAACCCACATCTTCTTCGCTCCAAGGCTATCCTATCCACTACTCCCTAGCCGCCTCTCTTTGGCCTTCAGAAAGCTTAAATAGGAGCATTTTTCTCTCAGTCTTGTGAAATAATTCACACATCTCCAAGGAGAAATAATTCATCATGTACCCTCAACCTTCTGGTGATAAGTCTTCCAGTAGAATTGAGCTAGATTGTCTCCAGCACAATGCTTGCAACTTCTCCAGCTTGATAAAACCTGTCTCTCAAGTTTGTGTCATGCTTTGATAGCCTTGGACAACCCAGGGTCACTTACAGTAGAACTTGAAAGAAAAAAATGAAGGATGTTGAGTCCTTAATAGGTTTATATTAAAGACATGTTCATGAAACGTTCCTGCTATACAGAGTATAAAAGAAATGCACTTACTTGGGAGTCATAGTCAAACGAAAGTAGAAATTTTGAATGATCACCCAGGAATTCAGGATGGAAAATTTAGGCAAACTTTTTTTTCCTTTTATTTGGATTTCTTAAGTAATTGCTTCTGTATAGACCTCCTCAAGCAAAATAAAATCAGTCTGCTGTAGTATGTTTGAATAAGACCAAAATTATACAAACAGGAGTTGAATGTGGATTTTAGAAAGATTACAAAATACTGACCATGTGGAGTTGGCATAAAGTGAAAATTCTGGCAGGTTATATTATTGAGAAATTCTGAGATAATTGGGGCAACAATGTATCTTGACTGTGTAAAATGGGGTTAATAATCCACTACCTACCTCACAGAGCTGTTGTGAGGAAAGCTCTTTATAAATGTCAAGACATTATGTAAATAAGAGCTATTATTGTTACTAATTCTATTATTATGTCAATCAATCTGAGATGAGTAGTTTTGCACATAGTAGGTTCTTAAGTAAATACTTGTTGATTGTTATGGCTGATCTGAAAACCAGGACCACTAACCCTACATGTATTTGTTATTCTAAACCTAGAATCCACCAAAAATTTCAATAAAAAAACATAAAACTTTCATTATTCGCAGAATTTTTTTTTTTAGGCAATTGGGATTAAGTGACTTGCCCAGGGTAAAGGTCAAGTGTTTGGTCTGAGGCTAGATTTGAATTCAGGTCCTCCTGACTTCAGGGCCTGTGCTCTATCTGCTGCACCACCTAGCTGCCCCTATTTGCAGATTTTTTAAAAATGTGCATATTAACTTTAACAAGAGTAACAAATATCCTGTTTACTTTTATGTCTCCATATTTCAGTAGTTGTCATAATGTGTGGATATTGTTGTTCTGATTTTGATTTAATCACTTTGCATCTCTTCATTTAAGTTTTCCTATAATTCTTGGTATTCTTCATGTTTGCCACTTTTCTTATGGCACAATATTCTTATGTTTCTATGCTACAAATTGGCCATTTCCCAAGGGATAAATCCATTGGTTGTTTAAACTTTTTCACTATTACAAATAAGGCTTCTAGAAAATTTTCTGCACTTGGGATTTCCCCCCATCATGTTAATGTATAGTCCTACTTGTGAACTCATTGGGTAGAAGGGATTGAGCAGTTTTGTAGCTCTTATTTTGATAATTGCTTTTTAGAATTATTTGACGTAATGCTAGTAGGTGACACTCAAGTTTGAATATAGGCTGGTACCTTTGTTGTTTTGTAGACAATTATGCTCTTGATTTCAGAAACCACAAATTACCACAGAAAGGATTAGCTATTTCATTTTCTTGTCTCCTCCTCTAGAACAGACCTTCTTGGGAGGGTAGACTTCTGAACAGAAAGAGTGACTAAGATGGCTAGTTGTTAATATCCCACAAAGAAAGACAATATGAAGAATTATTACTTTCTTGAGAAGACTTCTCTTTCATGCTACTTATATAAATTTGCAGAAAAGATGTTGCTGCCTTTCTTTTATATGACATTAGATATTATACATTGAATCAGTTTACTCTCATTCTGCCATCATTAATGTGCAAATACCATCCAACTTGTGATGGAAGCTTTTAGTTGGGTGCTAGCTATATTATTAAACATTCATTCTTCTGTTCAGATGAGTGTGTGGAGAGAGAGAGAGAAGAATGAGTCAATCTAAAGGTTTACTTAAGTTTTACTTGAAGTTTTCAAATATAATTTTATTCCGTTAAGATCAACTAGGCTTCTTTTTGGATGTTGTACCCAATGAAGAATTATATAACTATTGCCAGTATCAGGGTGGTGTAGTTGATATAGCACTGAGTTGAGGACTGATGATGAAACACTCTTCCTTATTTCAAAGAGAGATTGTGGACTATGAATAAAAAGGTAGCATATGTTACACATGATTACTGTGTCAGTTTATTTTGCATAAGTGTTTTTCTTTATCACCAAGGAGGATTCTGTGGGGTGGGGGAAACATAACTGGGAAGTGACTAGTGGTGGGGGAAGCAGCAATAACACTTAAGAGAAAGAAATCTGTTTAAAAGAACATTCTGAGTCAGTAAACTTTGGTTCAAGTCCTGGTTTTGCTATTTACTAGCTATACAATCTTGGCAAGTCATTTAAGTTCTCTGAGCCTCAGTTTCCTCAAATGTAAAATAATTAACAATACTTTGTATGCTTTTGAGGGTCACTTGAGATAATATAAAAAGAAAGCACTGTGTGAGATTTTTTTTGTCAATCATTACTTTAGGTTGGTAATTTGGTTTCAATTTAAATTCGATATATTTCCTAGAAATACCTAAACATTTAAATGTGTTAAAAAATATATGACAAGTGTGGGTCTTGATGTTCTCTAGTTATATCTCTGTGTATTCCAGAAGTGAAGAGGGTTTGAAAGGGTGGTAACCATGTGAGTGAAGAGAAGGGATCAGATGTAAGGGATGTTGTGGATACAGAACTGACCAGATTTGGCCACTGATTGGAAATGTTTAAATGTCAAAGGGACATATGGTTTGAAATGTTAAAGAGGCAGTTTGATATTGGAGGAAAACTAGAGAGAGAGATACTAGGGTTGCTTAATGTGGATCTGGTTATCATATGTGTAGAGAAGATAATTATACTCATGGTAGCAGATAAGGCTACTGAAAGAATGTAGAGAGAGAAGGTCCAGGACAGAGTCTTTGATTACTGCGTACAGACTGTAGGTTATGGGTGATAATCCAACAACACAGATTTGGAGTGGTGAGGTTGGAAGAGAAAACAAAAAAAAAAAAGAGCAGTGTGTCAAAAAAAAAAAAGCAGAGGAGAGGTTATTTAGAAGGAAAGTTTGGTCAACAGCATCAAAAGCTCCAGAGATTTCAAGAAGAATGAGAATTGAGAAGAAGCCATCACATCTGTCAATGAAAAGACTGTTGGAAACTTTGGAGAGAATAAGTTTAGTTGAGTGGTGAGGTCGGAAGCCAGGTTGCAAAAGGGCTGAGAAGTGAATAAGAGAAGAGGAAAGGGAGTTGGAAGTAGTCAGCTTAAAAAAACAGTTTTACTGTGAAAAGAGAAGAGAGATATAGGAAGATAGCTGGAGGGGATGGTAGTGTCAAGGATCTTTTTTTTTTTTTAAAGATGGAGAGATCTGTGCATGTTTGTAAGAAGCTGATAAGCCTCCAGCAGATAGTCACTCCTTATCTGTAAATTGTACATATGGGTCCCCACCCTATGTTAGGGTCCTTATAGGTAGGTCTTCTAGCTCTTAGGGCAGGAACTATTTCATTTTTGTCTTGATCTTCACCTTCAGCACCTCACACAGTGCCCTGCATACCTTAAGTATGCAGTGAATGCTTCTTTATTTGAATTAAACTGGATAACAGTGTAGCATGGACAGTCCACGTGTTATCCCTTGATGTTACTATAAGACCCTACCTCCTTTTCTGGTCATCTCTTTGATGATAACTTTTATACCACTTAGTTTGTGTAGTTTTATGTTGGTAATGTGCTGCAACCTACTATTATCCACCATGAATCTCTGCATTTTCCCTTGGAAAATCTAATTTTTTCTTCCTTGATGTTTGTGATTATTATTATTGTGGTTGTAATTATTATTTGTGAATAATCAAAGTCATATAGCATCATGGAAAGTATATTGGTGTTAATAGATTAGAGTTTTGTTTCGGGAAGAAGCTTGGGGTTCACTAAATCCACTGTGCAATTTCCCAATTGTCAATCTCACTCTCTTTGTTCCATTAAATTTGGACCAGGTTCAACCATCTAAAGTATCTTTTCAAGATATCTATATTTATATGTCTACATTTGTCTATCATATATAGCTAGCTAGCTTTCTATATACCTATCATCTATCTTTCTATCTGTCTATCAATCTATCAATCAATCTATCTATCTACCTACGTATCTACCAATGGACCATCAGCCTCTACAAGCCATCCATGCAACTACACATTATTGTCTAGATCATAGACAATCTTTATCCCCTTGGTTTTTCCTATGTGAATAAGTCTGGATGCTTTTGAGTCATTATAATTCTCATTTAGGAAGCTTTGTAACATTCCAGGGTTTGAAGCAAATACTGAGTTATATGTTAACTTATGGCAGATACTGTCAAATTCTTCATATAATTTTTTCACTTCATCTTTTGCAATGGATATTGGTGCATAAATTGTTTCTTTCTTTATAGTGGTCCCTTGTCTATGTTTATTATGAGTACTAGAAGGTGAGATGAGTGATTTTCCATAGGAAAAATGATTCTTATTGCAGAATGAAATCATTTCCTTTATTTACCTCTCTGAGGAGAAACCATGAAACAACCTTCCATTTAGTTGTAACTTCTTTATGTCTTCCGGCTTCATTTATAGTAATGGGTATAGTTAAATTCTTTAAATACTGTATCAATGCTATGCCAACCAAAATACCAAAAATCATTTTATAGAGCTAGAAAAAAATAATAACAAAATTCATCTGGAAGAACAAAAAGTACAGAATATCAAGGGAATTAATGGAAAGAAATGCAAGGGAAAGTGGCCTAGCTGTATTAGATCTTAAATTGTGTTATAGAGCAGCAATCATCAAAACTACTTGTTACTGGTTAAGAAGCAGAGTAGTGGATCAGTGGAATGGGTTAGGTATGTAAGACATATCACTCAATGACTATAGTAATCTACCATTTGATTAATCCAAAGATTCTAGCTTCTAGGATGAGAACTCACTATTTAACAAAAACTGCTGGGAAAACTGGAAAATAGTATGGCAGGAACTAGGCATAGACCAACATCTTGCACCCTATACCAAGATAAAGTCAACTGATATTATAAGCAAACTATATAGTATATATTATATAGTTATAATATTACATATTATACAATAATATATTACATATATTATATATTATAAGACTGATATTATAAGCAAATTAGGAATGCAAGGAATAGTTTACCTATCGGATCTATGGAGAAGAGGAGAATTTATGACCAAGCAAGAGATGGGGAACATTATGAAATGCAAAATGGATGACTTTTATTACATTAAATTAAAAAGTTTTTGTACAAACAAAGCCAATGCAACCAAGATCAGAAGGGAAGCAGAAAGCTGAGAAATAATTTTTACAGCCAGTGTCTCTGTTAAATGCCTCATTTCTAAAATATATAGAGAACTGAGTAGAATTTATATGAATACAAGTCATTCCCCAATTGAGAAATGGTCAAAGGATATGAATAGGCAGTTTTCAGAGGGAGAAATTAAAGCTACCCATACTCATATGAAAAAATGCTCTACATCATTATTGATTTTTTTCTTTCTTTCTTTCTTTTTTTAGGCCATTGGGGTTAAGTGACTTGCCCAGGGTCACACAGCTAGTAAGTGTGAAGTGTTTGGTCTGAGGTCGGATTTGAACTCAGGTTCTTCTGACTTCAGGGCCGGTGCTCTATCCACTGCGCCACCTAGCTGCCCCCCCCCCCTTTTTTTAAACAAAAAGTATTTATTTGGAAAATTTTCCAAACTAGCCAAAAAATGGTACTTGTTGCCCTGTCCACTCCCCTTCCCCCAGCCCCTATGGGGCAGGAACACCCCAAAACATATCTGAGGTGCCACATCACATTTGAGTTATCAGATGTTAGCCAATTTCAGAATCTTTGGTCTGCAATATGAAGAAAATGTTAGTTATTGTTTGCAAGGAGTGTATCTAATTTGTCCTTTGTCCTCATGAACACTATCTTTGCCAGCTTGGCTAGCAGATTGGCTAACATGACAAAACAGGAAAATGAGAAATGTTGGAGATGTGGGAAAATTGGAACACTAATGCATTATTGGTGGAGTTGTGAACTGATCCAACCATTCTGGAGAGCAATTTGGAATTGTGCCTAAAGGGCTATAAAGTTGTGCATACTCTTTGACTCAGCAATACCACTTCTAGGTCTGTATCCCAAAGAGATTATAAAAATGGGAAAAAGACCCACACGTACAAAAATATTTATAGCCACTTTTTTTTGTGGTGGCCAAGAATTGGAAATTGAGGGGATGTCCATCAATTGGGGAATGGCTGAACAAACTGTGGTATATGAATGTAATGGATTACTATTTTGCTGTAAGAAATGAGCAAGTGGACTTCAGAGACACATGGAAAGACTTATATGAACTAATGCTGAGTGAAATGAGCAGAACCAGGAGAACAATGTACATGGTAACAGCCACATTGTGCGATGAATGACTTTGATAGACTTAGCTCTTCTCAGCAATGGAAGGATCTAGGACAACTCCAAAAGACTCATGATGGAAAATGCTATCCGCATCTGGAGAAAGAACTATGGAGTCTGAATGCAGAACAAAGCATACTATTTGCTCTCCTTTTCTTTTGTTGTTTTGATTTGTCTCTTCTTTCTTGTGGTTCCTCCCATTAGTTCTAATTCTTCTATACAGCACGACTAATGTAAAAATATGCTTAATATGAGTGTGTAAGTAGAACTTATATCAGATGGCATGCCATCTTGGGGAGGGGGAGGAGAGGTAGGAGGAGAAATTCTAAAACTCAAAATCTTATGGAAGTGAATGTTGAAAACTAAAAATAAATAAAATAATTATTAAAAAATAAATACTATAGCAAGCCAGTTGTATAAAGTTTTTGCATCATGTGGGGAGGGATATGTTGAGAAAATTAGATGATGTAAAAACAAAAAGTATCAATAAAAAATTTTGAAGCATAACCAATGTTTGTAGATGGTCTAAAAATTGTGTCGTTTTAGTATTCATTATTACATTTTTATATTTACTTATTTTACTTTTCTTCTTCAGATATATTGGAAATAGCCCAGCAGTACAGTGGGTGGCCTTCCATTTGAAGATACAAAATAGAATAAGAAATGGAATGTTATTAAACATCTTCACTGAAGCTAAAATGAATCTGGTTTGTATTTTTTTTTAATGCTTGCATTGTAATTAATGCTTATCTGATTTTAGGAATAGCAAAGTCTTTAACTTTCTTTGGTGGAAGGATTTTTAAAAAATCACAGAATGGTTTAATACACTCAATTTTGTTGAAAATGTTTTTATGTAAGTTCCTCATATTGTGGATCATTTTAACATAATTATATCCATATGTAACAGAATAAAACATAATTCAAATAATTATAACTGAATCTGCTTAACATTAAATAGAATGAAAGCTCTTTTTTATATGCTTTTTAGTGAATGTGTTGATATCAAATGAAACTTCATATTGCTGTGTTTTTGATATGGTGCAATTACGTTTTAATTTATTTTCATTACCACAATTTGTTTCTGGGCCTAGTTTGTGGGCCCTACTAGTCCATGGGACAGATCAGTAGTATCAAACTCAAGTAGAAACTGGGACACTAAACTCTATGTAAAGATTCTTATGGGCCACATGTTGATTTAGAATACCACAAATTAATACTATCTATATATATAATTGTACTTTTACTTATTTTGTAAATACTTCTCAATTAAATTTTTATCTGGTTTGCTCTTGAAGAGTGCTATGGGCAGCATTCCTCATCTATAAATAGGGCTGCTGATATGTCTCAATCTTTTTTCTTCCCTAATATTAAAAAAAGCACTGTATCTTCCCTCCACCATTCACAGTCTCCTGCACTGTGTGTTTGATACCTCTGATGTAGATCACAGAACTGAATTGGACAGAAGCGAATTCTTTAGCACACATGGAGAGTGCCTGAATAATACCATCAAACCACTTTAAACCAATTCAGATGTTGATTCATTTACTTCATTATGATGTAGCAAATTCCCCCTATCTATCAAGACAACCAAGTTTCATCTAGGGAAAAATAGGTATCCTAAGGTATTTAAAAGAAGTTTGTAAAGCAAAATAAAAGTAGTAATATGTAATCAGAGCATCTGCTTTACCGGTGGTTTTAATTTATTTCTGTTTTAGAGCAAAGATAGTGTTCATGAGGACAAATTAGATACAGTCCATGCAAATAAATAACTAACATTTCTTCATATTGCAGACCAAGGATTCTGCCATACTTAAGAGTCTGTTATCTGTTTGCCCACATCGAAGAAGTGTAGAAGATTTCAGACAAGTAAGAAATTAAAAAAAAATAGGATTCCAATATTATTAAGTCATACTTCTATTTTTCTACAACAAATATAGGTTACCTCTCTCTATATATTTATTATATATATAGTACCTAATATGTTTATTTTGCTTGTTTTTTAAAAGAGATACTTGAATGAAAATCAATTTTTCTATGAAAACATTTTCTGAAAATTCATGTTACTTATTGAAATAATATCAAAGTCCTATTATATAAATATGGATTTTTTTGTCTCCAAGAATTTTAGTATATCTTTTCTACCCTTATTTAAACTTTAATATGCTTAGATAAATTTGCTTTATATTTCTTATGTGTTTTAATCTTATGAAGGCTACAATTTATTTTATTTTATAATGAGCTACAAAGTAAAAAAAGATTATTGATTTTTAGGCATTTTAAAGTAAAAAAACATTTTAGAGTATACTAAGAATAAAATGCTATATTATAAGTTGTCATCATTTTTGGGCACCAGACATCTTTGAAGGCCAATGCCTTTAACACATAACTGTTTATGGCTTTGTCTTGAGTCCATCTTGGACCTAACTTTTAGCTTGGGGAATCGAACATTATACTTCTAAATATTATGGCTAACTAAAATCCTATTATAAGTGCCAGACTGAGTTCTTTCTGTACAGAGACAATTGTCAAACCTGTAATGGATTATATTCCTTGAAAAGTCTCTATAGTTAAAAATTATATAAACTGAAACTGGTTTTCCAAAGATATGATGTTAAAATTAGAGGTACACATATTCCTAAGGAATCAATTTTATGCCAAACCTTTATATATTCTCCAAAAACTGACAAACAAATCTGGGTCCTTTTCTAAGTGTGTCTGAGGTTCTGCTATAGTTTTCTTGTAGGAGGTATGTTTATGTATATGTATAATGTTATTATAGGAATGATGGATGAGAGGGAGAGGGCATTCTAGATATGGGAGACATTCTGAGCAAAGGCACTCATCGCAGAAAGCACAGGACAGAGAATAGTCCAGGTTGACTGGGATCAGAGATTGTATGGAGGACAGATGAAATAAACTTGTAAAGGAGAGGCAGGACCAGATTATAAAGGGCCTTGAGTTTTACCAAAGAGGCAAAGGAGTTTAATTTTGGTAGAAAGTCCTTGAAGATTTTGAGCAGAAGAGTGACATGAGTAGATTTATAAACACTGGAAAATTTGTCTGGTAGCACTGTAAGGGGCAATTTGGAGACTGTTGATACTCTGTCTCTACTCACTACAACAATGCTGTAGCTATTTTAGCCCAGAGCTGGGATCAGGGAAAACTTTTGCTTTTGGATTAGAGCAATTAAGCTCAAGAGCTGAGCCTCAGACACCACAGGAATCAGTCAAGGACCTGAACCTCAAGCGTTGGCATCATAGCTTCATAGTCACAGGCAGCAGACTTCTAGTATCTGTCTAAGGACTAATGTGATAGGATCAACATCGACTGGGATTTCCTCTGCCCCCATCTCCATGTAGGATATACTAATTCTAAAAGTCGAGGAATCCATCTTCAAGCCTGAATTGGTCTAGAGGGCTAAGACCTTTGACTTTGGTGGCCTCTAGCCTTGTTGACATAAATTCTTAGTTTCCCAAGGGCATAAAAAGGCCTAAGTGGAACCACCATCCCTCAGTTTTGGTGTAACCATAGTCATCTCTGCTGACCAGAACTATAGAGACTTTTCAAGGAATATAATCCATCATAAGTTTGAGAATTGTCTCTGTATAGAAAGAACTCATACTAGCACTTATAATAGGATTTTAGTTAACCATAATATTTAGAAGCATAATGTTCACTTCCCCAAGCTAAATGTGGGGTCCCAGTGCTGACCAGATATGAGGGGACCCATGTATAACTGAATTGAGTGTTGTCTGAGTATCCTTTCAATGTTGTAGCTAGGAAAACCTCCTTTTGTTAACTGTTGAATGTCATATGAGTCTCATTGTGTTCTAACATCAGACTTCGACTACAAGAAATTTAGTCAGAATGAGCATAAGGAAAAAGACCATTAAAAAAATTGCAATTTATCATCCAACATTCTTTGCAGAGGTTGAAGAAGGAAGATGAAGTCTATGAAGAACTTGATAAGATTCTAAACCAAGCTAACACATATGTTGATATTTGGTGGCTTTGATCTGAAAGTGGGTATGGGGAGCCTGGTGAAATGCTCTTGGAAACTAGTGACTTAGATCAAGAAATGAATGTGGCCAAAGACTTGTAGCTTGCTCAGAAACCTCATGCTTGTACAACATAGACACTCTTTTTTTGGGGCTAGCCAGTGGGGTTAAGTGACTTGCCCAGGGTCACACAGCTAGTAAGTGTCAAGTGTTTGATCTGAGGCTGGATTTGAATTCAGGTCCTCCTGACTTCAGGGCCAGTGCTCTATCCACTGCACCACCTAGCTGCCCTTTCATAAAAAGCATGCCTTTTTTCAAGAAGAGTTAGAAGATATAGAATGATGCTAGCTCAGAGTTTAATGAAATTGACTATGTCTTAGTTAACAAGAGGATACTTGTCGTAGATATTAACCTTCTCTAATGGAAAATTAGAGACTGTTACATTTGTCTTTGTATTCCTAGTGCCTAGCACAGTGCCACGTATACAGGTAGTCAGTTGATGGTTGTTGAATTGAATAGTAGTGAATTTTAGAATCACCTGTAGATGTGAGTCAGATTATCAACTGGTCAGAGAAAAAGTTGAAATAAATATCAAATCTAAAATAAGGATAAAGATGAGAATATGCCTCTGCATGTTATTATAGCAGATACAACCACATTTGTTGAAATAAACTGTCAACTCCAAAAAAAAAGACAAATGGACAGATAGAAAGAAAATGGCTTTTCATTAGATGCAAAACAGTTGCCACAATGAAGAGATGATGAGATCCCAAGCACCTTCTCTGCCAACAAATATTTAATCTCCTTATCAGATGGAAAGATCATCACTGGTTTAGGATACAAATTCATTTACAAAACATGTTAGAGGAGAATGATGTAAGAATACAAATAGTCTTCCAGTTAACTGTGTGATGGCAAAGATGTAATACACTGTGAAATATCATTTGTCAAAACCTGCTAGTTTCCTTAACATACTCTCATAAAGGATGCCCTTGATGCATGTGAAAAGTATTCTCATAAATTTTTTTTGTAGAGGGAAAGTAGGCACATGGCTCTCTAGTTACTGATGTTTCATTGGCTGTGATTTTTAGAAATTTTAAGGTTCAAGATTTTTTTAATCTTCCTGTCCTTTGCAAACATTTACAGTTCATCTTTCAACAACCTCAGACTTGTTGCTTCCACAATGGACTTCCTCTTTATATACTTGGTTGGGTACAGCTATTATTCTCATTTTGGTTTTCTGCGGTGCCATTTGCACTTCCTCTATAAGCATACCTGAAGCTCTGGTGTTTGAGTCCAAATGTGGCTCCATTATCCTTGATGGTGAAAAGAGTTTAATATTTAAAAAAATTCTTTACTGACCTTTTTCTTCCTTTTTTTTTTTTTTTGGCTAGGCAATGGGGTTAAGTGACTTGCCCAGGGTCACACAGCTAGTAAGTGTTACGTGTCTGAGGCTGGATTTGAACTCAGATCCTCCTGAATCCAGGGCCGGTGCTCTATCCACTATGCCACCTAGCTGCACCTCTTCTCCTTTTTTGTTGATCTTCTAGTTTCATTCTTAAATGCTCTGAGGATGACCTTGCGCTTTCTTTAAGCTTTTATCCCCTCAGAGTTTCTTGCTTGTGAGGCAATGCTGCTTTTAATCTTCTACCATCCTTCTCTGGAAGATTTTTCTAATGAATTTAAGTTTTCAATGCACTCGATTGCTACATCTCTAGTTGGTAAGTAAATTGTGTTTTCTGACTAGGGCAGTTTTTAGTCTCTTTTGGTCTTCTCTTTGTGGCAATTGTTTTACGTTGGTTAAACTTCTCCACAAAATTGTTGTCATCAGCGTCAAAACAGAGATAAGAATATTGTAAGGCTATATTGGATATCAAAACACCCATAAGAGCTTATTGGATCCTCTGTAGAGTGCTTATGTATAGGAATTGCTATGTGCACCAAAGGAGGAAGCAATTGCAATCAGTGTAATGAAATTCTGTATCCATTAAAATATGAAAATAAATTATCATCTTGAGACATCAGAGTTCTGAAGAGATACTGAATTACCAAAGAAAGATTAAATTATGCTAAGTATGGTTTTAGTATTGTTTTTCCATCTTTTATTTCTTTTAAAAATTCATTGTCTATGCATGATGTATGTTAACTATTAATGAGAATGTTTAATTAGCCAGTCCCTTCTCTGAGCAGGCTGAAGAGCAGAGTTTCATGAAGTTACTAGATAGGGAAGTTTTAATTATTTAAGTAATCAGAAAAATAATTAACTTTGAATGACATGCTTTTCTGTTTTAACTAATTTTAAAATTAGCTATTATTTTGAACCTTTAAAAATCCTTTGGTAAGAAACTGATATGATAAATAACAAAATTTTAAGTGCTTGATAAAGTAGAAAGTACTCAGGTTGATATATTGGAAACAGTTAACTTGATGGAAGAAGGAACTTAAACATTGGAATGTTTCCTTCTTTACAAAACTGGACATACAACTTGAGCCAGCTAGGCCATTACTAGACCTATAGCACAAAGTGATCAAAGAAAGAGGAAAAAGGACCATCATGTACACAAACATTTATAGCAACTCTTTTGTACTGACAGAGAACTATAAATTAAGAGGGTGCCCATCAGATGGGGAATGACTGATTTATGATATATTAATATAATGGAATTGTGCTCTAAGAATTATAAAAGGGATAATTTGAGAGAAATGCAAAGGGGAGTAGAACCAAAGAACAATTTATACAGTTACAATATACTGCAAAAGACTTAAGAATTCTGATTAATGTAATAGCTAATCACAATCCCAGAGGACCACTGACAAAACACATTATCCATGTCTTGATAGAGAGGTGATAGATTTGGTATGAAGAATGAGACATATTTTTGGGATATGGCCAATATGTGAGTTTGCTTTGTTTGACTATGCATATCTAACACAAGGTGTTTTTTTTCTTTTTTTCAATAGGGAGGTAGATGGGAGGAAGAAAAAATAGATTTTATTAGTTGAAAAGATTAAATTAAAATAGAACATTTTCTGATTGCATTTCACATTTTTACTTCCTCCTCTGCTACTCAGAGGAAGGCTTCTGAGGCTTCCTTTTGAATTTTACATATTTTCATATCTTATGGGTAATTGTGATATAATGGAAAGAAAAATCCCTGGGCTTTAAGTTAAAACTAGGTTCCTCTCTCATTTCTTCTTACTAGCTCTGTTGTCTTATTTCTCTGAATTAGCAAGCATTTATTAAGAACTTTCTATATGCCAGGCATTGTACTAAGCACCAGGTATGCAAAAGAAAGGTAAAAGACAGTTCCTGCTCTCAAGGAGTTTATAGTCTAATGGAGATAGCATATAAACAACTATATACAAATAAGATTGAGGGTAATCAACAGAGGGAAAGCACTGCCAGTAAGGAAAGGCTGGGATTTTAGCTGAGACTTGAAGGATTCCAAGGAAGTTAAGAGGCAGAGATGAGGAAGGAGAGAGTTGCAAACATGAGGGGTGGCAAAAGTCAGGAGGCAGACTGTCAGGTGCAAAGGAGAGCAAAGATACTAGTGTCACTAGGTATCAAAGTATGTGTGTATATTGGGGTGGGGGGGAAAGTGTAAGGAATAAGAAGATTGTAAAGGTCAGAAGGAGCCAGGTTATGGGGGGGCTTTAAAAGAGAAGCAGAGGATTTTATATTTGATCCTGGAGCCTATAGGGAGCCACTGGATTTGACAGAATAAGGGGGTGTACTTCCTAAAGGAAGAACAGTTTGACAGTTGAGTGGAGGATGGACTGCAGTGGGGAGAGGTTTGAGGCAGGGAAACCAACCAGTAGACTATTGCAACAATCCAGGTGTGAGGTAATGAGGGGCTTGGACCAGGATGGTGGCAGTGTCAAAGGAAAGAAGGAGGTATATATGAGAAATGTTGTGAATGTAGTAATGATGGGACTTGGCAACTAATTGGATTTGGGAAGGGGGAGATGAGAGAAAAAAATGAAGAGTCAAAGATGACACCTAGGTTAACCCTGGTGACTCTGAGGGTGGTGGTGTATTCTATAGAAAAGGAAAAGTTCGAAAGATGATAGGGTTTGGTGGGAAAGATAATGAGTTCAGTTTTAAATGTGTTGAATTTAAAATGTCTACAAGATATTCAGTTTGAAATGTCCAATAGAGATGTGAGACTGGAGCTCGGTAGGGAGGTTAGAGCTAGACAAATAAATCTGAGGATATTTTGCACAGAAATGATAGTTGAATCCATGAAAGCTAATGAGATCACCAAATGAACTAGTATAGGGGGAGAAGAGTAAGGGCCCAGGATGGAACCTTGGGTAACAATCACAGTTAATGAGTGTGAACTAGATGATGATTTAGTAAAACACACTGAGAGTCAGTCAGCCAAGTAGATGGAGAAGCAGGAGAGAGCAATTTCATAAAAATCCAAAGAGAAAAGAATATTGAGGAGAAGAGAGTAGTTGACAATGTCAAAAATAGCAGAGAGGTCATTGAGGATTGAGAGAAGGCCATTAGAATTGTGGTAACTTTGGAGAGAAAAGTTTCAGTTGAGTGGTAAAGTTGGGAGCCCAGACTGCAGAGGTAAGAAGGAAGTAAGGGGAAAGAAATGGGAAGCATCAATTGTGGACAGCCTTTTCTAGAAGTTTAGCCAGAAAAAGGATGAGTTATAGGATGATGGCTAGCAGAGTTAGATGAATCAGGTGAAAGTTTTTTGAGGATGGCAGAGACATCTAGGTAGTAGCGAAGCAGCCAATAATCAGGAAAAGATTGAAGATAAGTGACAGAATAGGTAGATAGAAGATGTAGTCTGCTGGAGGAGATAGAATGGAATGGGATAATATGTACATGAAGAGGGAGTTAGTCTTGGCAAGGAGAAGGGCTATCTTTTCATATGAAACAGGTGAATGAAGAGAAAGTGGCAGAAAGCATCTTAATGATGTGAGATAATGGGGAAGGGAGAAGAGGGAGCTCTCAGAAAATAACCTCATTTTTTTTCTCAATGAAATATGAGGCAAAATTCTCGTTTTCTTTCTTACCTGTTAAAATGAGGTCAAAATACTTGTACTATGTACCTCACAAGATTGTTGCTAATATCAAATAAAGCACTATGTGAATGCGCACTGTTGCATGGATTAATTGTAAAACACTGTGTAAAAATGTAAGCTGTAGAATCAATACAGATGTGCTTTTTTAAACATCCACCAAAGGACAGGTGAGCTCAACAATGCTGAATTTGATTTTAGAGGTGCCTATGCCAAAGCAGTAGGGCAGAGATTGCAACTGACTACTTTGTCTTTTGTCGTTTTTTTAAGATTCAAGAACATTTAAAGAAGAACATCTCATTTCAGCATTTGCCAAATGAAGTCCAACTCCAACGTTGCCAAATTGTAATCTATCATGAGTGAGTAACACACCAGGCTTTTCCATTTGGGTTTTGGCAGTTTGTTTCTTATGAAAGAAATTGCAGATGTTAGACGCAGTTTAACAAAAACAGATAATTTTTCATGTGGCAAAGATATATAAAGACATATAAAGACAGAATAGAATATTGATCAGAAGAATCGGGTGTTTTTCTCAGTGTATGCTTTAAACTCACTCTAGACCACCGAGACTGACTTTTTTCACTTCAGCTGAGAAGGTAAAGAAAGCTGCAATTATCTTAGAGATCATTTCAGACAAAATAAAGAACCCATGGCAGCACTACAACATGTCATGCATGTCAAAAATGCAGAAATTTTTCACTTGTCATTTCCAGGGTCATATGCCATATTTAGGCCACAATTCCTGAATTTTGTAGTAAAAAGTGGTAGGATAGAGAAGATTTCCACTTGAAAAAGGTCAAATAATGTTACTGCTTGAATATGGAATGTGTTGTGAATATAATTCACATTTCTATGGCACTTTAAGGTTTGCAGAGAACTTTCCTTACAACTTAGTGAGGTATTTCAATTATAAAATATCAATCTTTAGAAATTGGATAGAAACTAAAATGTATTAAAACCTAATTTTATTTAATGAAGAGCAACATTGATATTTATTATAAAATTGACCCTCTCCTAGGAAAACCATATAAATTGAAAATAAGTCCACCAACCGGAAAGCCTCATGGCCGCACAGGTATTATTAGCTGTCAGAACCAAGATTCAAACCTAAGTTCTTAATTCAGTCCAGTGTCATTTCAACCTACCTTGTGGCTTCTTTTTAAAATCAGATCCATGATGTCATTGATAGCAGGAGCTTCCATATATATCAAGGATGGTGCTCATACCTGGGTAGGCATGGCTTTACCTGCTGTCCTATAGTAGCCTCATGCTCCATGCTTCTAAGAGATCTTTTTTAATAATAAGCATTATATATCTATAAAATAAATAAATATAAATTATATCTATATCATACATATATACTTTTATGGATATATTTTCATCATTAACTGTAAACAAATTGTAACCGTTTTTCTGTCCCTAGCAAAAGAGACAATAGCTTCTCTTGTCTTCATGTTGGAATAGTTGAATCCGTAGTTGACAAGAACAAAAATTTCAAGTAAAAAAAAAGTTTCCATCAAATTGAATAAAATCCTCACATGTCTATTAAAAGAGAAGTAATGTAGTAGAGTAGATAGAGGGCCCACAGGAAGTCAGGATGGTCTTAGTTTAGGTCCCACCTAGTACAATTAATAGCTTTGTGGCTAAGGGCTAGTCACTTAACCTCTCAGTGTTCCAATCAGATCTATGACTGTAAGATGATGGAGTCTGGATCCTCATGTTCCTTCCCACAAAATATACATGAAAAGTTCTGAAAGTCTAAAATTAAAAATCTAGGCATGAGAAGTAGAATATTTGATGCATGCCTTCTTTCACATTACTCACTAAGCTTTTGAAAAATCATCCTGGAGTTGTAACTCCAGCATAATATATAATTATTGCATGTGAATATTTGAAGTGTTCAGTTCATAGTAGTATTTTCAAATTTTAATGCTGCCAAAGAAATGGGTTGCCTTGGAAATATTGTGCCAGGGGGAGAAGTAGGCTATTGAGCAAGTGATGATGAACTTAGGGATGTTTAGAAACTATAATGGGCATCTGGCAGTCAACATGACGACCTGGCTGAGAATGGCTGGCCCTGATTCACGATTAGCAGTATGGAAGAGAGGAAATATGATAATGGATTACTCCTGACTTTTCTGTGATGACATTTATGTCTCTGTTACTTGAACATGAGACTTTTCTTTCAGAGCACTTACCATCCATCTTCCGTGCTATGCATATGTGTGCTACTGAATGCAACACCGGGATCTTTTATACCCTTTGGATTTTTCAGTAAGTTGATGCTTGAGGTGATTTCCAGGATAATTTATATGCAATGATAAAATTAAATCTTGCTTGTCCTGCCTTTATCTGATACTGGTAACTAGCACGTAACCTTTTCTGGTGATGAGGTTGGAATACAGCTAAAACTGAATAAATCAAGACCTGATTTGTAGTGTTTACTGATTTCCAAGGTGTAAATACTCAGCCCTGAAAATTTAATAATCAGCTCTTGGGACCCGGGTAAGCCAGCTCCAGCACACCCCTGCCACAAATGGCATGACTCCACCCTCAAGACACCAGGACCCAGACAGACTGGTGCTTTGGATGGTGGCCTAGCAGAAAGTTTGATGTCGGTCTGACAGCTAACTTGGATCCTCACTTTCTACTCTATGTCTCCCTAATCCTCCCCTTTATCCTGTCCCCAGTTATTAATTCTTTCTCCCTTCTGAAATTGCTTTTCTTTACTCTCTCTCTCTCCGCATATATGTGAGTGTGTGTGTGTGTGTGTATGTTGTATTACCCCAGGAAAATGTAAATTCCTTGAGACCAAGGACTGTGCTGTTTTTGACTTATACACCCAGTAGTAATAGTAGTAGGAATAGTAGTAGGAGTAGGAGTAGTGATGTGCCTTGTCCGTAGCAAATACTTCATGTTTGTTGAATTATTAAACAGCATTTGCTTCTCTCTTGAAGCAAACAACAGAGTGGTCCCTGGCTATTATGCTACTAGTCATCTCTGGGTTCTAAAATAAGAGATCTCTTAATACCCCTCCTTTATTGAAGACTAAGGAATTTGATAAACTGAACAACGTCCTCTAAGGCCTGGGCAGTTACTGCTACCACCAACTGACAGCCAACCATCAGCTGAGCTGAAGCGGAACGATACCCGGGGTCATACATACCCCAAAGACTCCTAAGCCACCGGCTTTGCCTCCATTCTGCAACACCCCAATCATCCAAGGAAGCAACCCTAGTGGGGACACTGCCCACCTCCTCAGCAATCACAGTTACTGAAGATTTAGAAATGAGAGCTCTCACCACCGAAGTCCTTCTCAAATGGTTCTGTGTGTGGTTTCATCAGGAAAAATGATAGTAAAGAATGATGTGTTTGTATATAGGACAGCCAGTAAGACACAAAATCCATGGAACTATCTTCATGCTGTAAGTGAGGAGAAATGAAGTAATGTAAGTGAGGAGTTTGGAGTGTTGAATGAAAGAAGGCTATAAAAGAAGTTAATGTGATTAGCCTAGTTAGAGCTCCAGTAGAAGACAGTTGCTATGCTATATACTGGACATTATTACCAATATGGCCATTATAGCTAAGGAGTAGACCTTGTTAAAATTACCATGGGGCAAGGGGGATGGGGAAATGAAGCGGAAGAATGGAGTGGTAGCAGTGAAGGATTCTATTCCCCTACTGATGCAGAGTTTGCTGAGGCTTACAGTAGGCTATAGCATTTCCTGTCTTTTTGTGTGAAATAGACCTTCAACCATTGCTCACACATTCCCCCCCCATGCCAATAGCATATACTGATGAGATGGAGGAAGATGAAGGATGGAGTCTAAGAAAGAGCACAATTCAGGTATCAGTTCACTAGAATCCCAAATATTGCCTAGAATATTAAAGAAGAACTTTGATCACATTCTACCTCAGCAACTGGAGTGGCAAAAGACAGGGAGAACCAACTTGGGGCCAGCAGCCCATACTATCTTCTTGCTGTGGTTACTTAGAAGGAATGGCAAAATGGCAAAGGGGTGGCCAAAGTGCTAACTGAAAACCCTGGTTCATCCACCAAGCAGATAAGTGCTGAGTTATATCTGTCTGGCTCTCTAGGCACCTTTACTATCATAGATATATTAAAACAAAAAACAAAACACATACACAGCAAATACAAACACATACTAACACCAAAGAAACATCCAAACAACAAAATGGAAGAATAAACTAAAAAGAGTTTTGAGAGTATCAGAATTTTTATTCTTAAATTAAAAACAAGGAAAATAAACAACAGCCTTAATAGCAAGCTAAGATTTCAGGGCTAGCTACATGAAAGATAATAGAAAGAAACAGAGAACAACCTCTCCAAAGTCAGAAAAATGGGGGAAAAAACTCCCAAAGTTCACTTTTCACCACTTATTTTTTAGCAACTTAAAATGTAGTGAAATCAATAGCCAGCTGATGGCACTGCTGATTATATAACAGAATCTGTCTCAATTTCAAAGTTTCAGGGACTTCTTAGATGACATTGTTGTCACACTTCATCACATGTTGAACATGTGTTGCTTCTGGACTGAGACAATTTTACATTTATAATAACCTACCTTCAGAGAGCCTGCCAGAGCTTGTGTTCTGTTGGCATAAATTAAAACTACTCAGTGTTACCTCTACCAGCTCATTCTCCAGTGACTCACCATGATATTGCAATTGTTGGGAATAAGGAGGTTTTAGGCTGAAAAGATGTTTGGCTAAAGAGTTACTCCCTTTCTCTGGCCCTCACTTTCATATGAGCAGAGCCACTCTTTTCCCGTATTTTGCCTTTGGGCATGCCTTTCCCCTTCATCAATACCTTCATTCCAAATTACTAGAAAAATAATCTTTTTTCTGTCTCTGTGTCCTTGGGTTACCATAGGGTACTGCTCTCCTTTTAATGCCCCTAAAGGCACACATATATACATGTATACACATATACATACAGAGAACTATAGCTTAGAGAAACCAATTTCTTTTGAGAAAACATAGATTCAGAAGGCAGAATCACTCTTAAAGAAATTAGGAATAGGGTACATGTTTAGTGCAAGAGTCAGAGTGAGGTAAGAGATGGGGAGCCAGGAGTTTCACCAGCTTTGTTCTTGGTATCAGTGACAGTCACCACCATTCTCTATTGGATTTGGGTGATCCTACATTGTTCAGCTGTGGTCTTTTCCCAGAATCTTATCCTTGTTTGGGGGCAGTGGCAATGCTAAGCACCAGTGCTCTCTCCCTCTCATTCCCCCTCTAGTCACGTGATTCACTCTTTCATGTTCTTTTATGTCCACTTTGCGGGCTTGCTTGCCTCTCACTTTAAATGAGATTTTGGCTTGCCCCTTCTTTTAGA